AGCAAAAAAAAGTTATTAAAATATAGTTATAATTATAAATTAAAATTATGATTAATAATAATAATAATAGATACAATTGTATCAAAAATTAATTGCTCTATTATTTATTATTAAAATAGCTTAATATAATTTTTTTTTTAAAAACGTTTATAAATTAATACAATAGTTATGTCGCGTTTGTTTAGATAATAATTTAAATATTTAAATTAAAAAAAATATTCATAAATATTTATAAATTATTTTTCAGTGCATTATTACAATATATATATATATATGTTTACTAATATAATATGTCAATTGAAATGGGATTTTTTTATTATTATTATTTATTAGCTTTTGTTTTAAAACACAAAACAAAATCTAATTAATGCTAATTATGTTAAACTTATATTCAACACACAAAAAACAATACATTATTAGTTATGTATTTCACACAATAATATTATATATATATATATACATTATATACACTTTAGTTATTTTTAAAATATATTAATTGCTAACTATTGTATAATTGCTATTATATTATACTAATGCATAAGTTATTACTGTATAATATATACTTTCATTACTATTATATTATTAGATATTATTGGTTAAGATATGAATCATTTATTTTGTTTTAAAAAAAGATAGTATATATATATATATATAGATTTAAAAATAAAACTTTTTTTTATGTTTTGTTTTTGTTTAGTCAATTATAATACCTGTACTAATACTAATAATAATATATTGTTTTAATTACTGGTATTGTATTATTAATTATTTGTTGCGCAACACTATAATTAACATTTTAACATTTAAATCAACAACAAAAAAATTAAAATACTGATTAATTAAAATTAGATTTTCAAAATTAGATTAAATAAATTATTTCTATTAAAGTAGTTTATTAAACTATCAATTATTTTTATATTATATTAAAAAATAGCAAATAATTTTTAATATAAATATAGAGTAATTATATTTAGTTTACATATTCAATGTTTTAAAATAATCATTTACAATGTTAATAGTAATAATAATTTAAATTTTTATCTTAAAAAATGTAAATTATATCCTGTAATTGTTTTTTTGTATAATTATTTTTATTACCCCCTAATAAATACTAATTATGCTAAATATTTAGATAGCAAACAATATTTAATAAATAATAAAAATTAAAAACTATTTTTTTCAATGTCTACGTTTCGTTTATGTTATATATTTATTTAAAAATAATAAATATTTAATTAATTAATTATTTCAGTTAATGTAGTTAAGAAAAAAAATTATATACAAAATTTATAATTTTTATTAAAAGGTAAACCAAATTAAATATTTAAAGATATATCTCAATAATGATATTTATTAATGACAATAACGATAATAATGTATAATAATAATAATAATAGATATTATTTATAATATAAACTGTATATATTTGTTTAGGAAATTCAACTTTAAAAAAATAAAAACTATTGCCTCAAATAAAAAAACTAATCTATAGTTAAAATTATTATTATTACTATTATTATTGAAATAAATTGGTTTTTCATTATATTTATTGAACATTATTAATAATAATAATACAGTACTAATGAATATAATAATATATCTATAGTTTAAACTGATAAACTATTTATTTAACTATTATAATACTACTAAACTTTATTATTATTAAATATCTATTTTATTATCATTATTATTATTATTATTATCCATAATTAAATATCATTAATGATTTTATAATTGTATTTCACACACACACACACACACACACACACACACACACACACACACACACACACACACACTATGTGTGACACATTAACATTGTTTGACAATAGATTATAGGRAAAAAATTGTAACAACAATTGGTAGCAATTTTTTATTTAATATACATTATTATTATTATTTGATGACTTATTAAATGCTCAGTGATTTTTTAAAATAAAAAATACTAAATTAATTTATATATAAAATATAATTTCTTAATAATAATAATAATAATAATCTCTCTCTCTCTCTCTCTCTCTCTCTCTCTCTCTCTCTCTCTCTCTCTCTCTYTATTGAAATGATTGTCAGAATTTATTTTATGAAATAATTGCTATTATTATTATTATTATAATAAAATTATTTGAGATATCACTCCTCTATTTGCTTGAAAATGTATTTTTTATTAAAACCATTGAACCGATAGTCTGATTCCTGTCCCGATGACAATAATAGCAGATATAAATCTATGGGTGCTTTTCATCAGCAAAAATATCTGTCTATCTATTGCTACCTTTCCTCTAAAGAAAAAAAACGTGACAACCCTTACATCCCTTACATTTAGCAAAAAAAATTGAGACAAAAAAACAAATGTATTTTAAATATTATATGTGAAACCATGTGTTTCCTCCTATTATTGTATTATTATTATTATTATTATTATTATTTTATTTCAATTGAATTAGAAATAACCAAAAAAAAATAAAAAGTTTTTTTGTTGAATAAATTAATTCGAGACAAAAAAAGTGGTTTTCAAACAATTTATTATTATTTGTCAAATAATAATAATTATTAACAACAAAAATATATATATAAAATAACACACAAAAAGCCCATATATTTTTTTGTCTGTATTTTTGAATAGCAATAATAATGATAATAATAATATATTATAGATGTATACAATAGTTGACAAATAAATTAGAAATAATAATAATAATGACACTTATAATTGCTTGTTATTAGTGTAATAGATATACAGTATATATATTGTGTGAAATTATTTTATATTAAACAACAAAAAAATAACAAATAGTTTTCACTTTTATAGTTTGATTTTTTTTTAAATTTTATATAAAATAAAATAATAAAAATAAAAAACCAAAGTTCAGGGTCTCTTACAGTGTCTGAATATTACTTGAAAAAAGTGTGAAAAATAAAAAACAAATTATTATTTGATATAAAACTTTGTGTTTTTTTCTGTGTCATTGACACTCAACCGTAAACCCAGTGATATACTAATATATATAATAAAATAATAATAATATAATAAAATATTTATTTATGTATATTTGATTATTATTTGCTTTACATATTTATAAACATTTTGCTTACTTAGACAACAATAATAATAATAATAACAACAACAGGAAAGACAATTATTTGACACTTTTTTGTATAATATTAAAAATATTATTATTATTATATTAAAAACATTTAATTGTTTTGTTTGTTTGTTTGTATGACATGAACTATCCTATAGTTTAGAGAGAAAGAGAGAGAGAGAGAGAGAGAGAGAGAGAGAGAGAGAGACATTAAACTTATTATTATTGTTATATCAATATAATAATAATAATAACTTTTTTTTATTGTAAATATATATATAAACTTAATAACTTTTTTGTTGTTGTGAAATTATATGTATAATAAACCTCATATAAAGATATATATATATATATATATATAGTTTGCTAATGTACTGTATTAACCTTATTGTTGAGAKAGAGAGAGAGAGAGAGAGAGAGAGAGAGAGAGAGAGAGAGAGAGAGAGAGAGAGAGAGAGAGAGAGAGAGAGAGGCATATAATTATGAATACTAATGAATCAATAATTATATACAAAAAATTTTGTCGTCAAATATGTATAAATATTTTTTTGTTGTTAAAAAAAGTGAGAGAAAATGTTTGCCAATATTTTTCCTAAATATATAACACATGAATGAATTTGCAAAGAAAAGTGTGATATTTCTCGAAAAGAGTTTCACAAAAAAATTTCAGAAAAAAAACATAATAATAATAATAATATTGTTTTTTTTGAAACATATTAGAGATATTTTTTTGTAGACAATTAACAAATAGTTTTTTAACTTAATGTTGTTGTTGTTGTTTTAGTTTTTTTCAAAATAAAAAAATGATAAACCAATTTATGAGATATTTTTAGGAAAAATATTTATATATGTTTAACATCTTTTATTTTTTTCAAAAAAAAATAAAATAAAAATAAAACTATATTATCTGTCTATTAGTACTACTAGTCCTATTAGTAGCATATAATAAGCATATGGTCTACTTTTTTTGTATGCCTATCCCTTCCCCCCCCCTTAAAAAAAACCTACCCAAACCTACCTTTCCATTTAACATGACTGTGTGTATGTATGTGTGTGTGTGTGTGTCTCCTCTCGCCCCCATCACACACTCCCTCCCAAATAATATGACTCAATAGAAAGTGTCATATTATCTATAATACAGTTAAGTAATTATTATCAATTGTTTTTGTATGTCACACATAATAAACTAAACGATCAAAAAAAATACATTTTTTTATCTAAACTTTTTTTTAAACGATATACAGAAAAAAATATTTGTCGTTTCATTTTTGTCATAATGTTGTTGTTGTTATATTGTGAGCACAGGTAGCTTTCGCTACTAATGTACTACTAATAAACTAATAGTGCCTTAAATAATAGGTAACAATCAGTACAATAGTAATTTATTTGCCAAAATTGATTCATTTAGCTAAACTATTTTGTGTTATTATTATTATTATTATTATTATATTTACTTATTTGAAAAAATTTTATCTAAATGTTGGATCAGATGGTAAACATTGTTTAAACTTTAAAAAAAACATTTAATATTAAAATAATAATAATATTTCTGAAAAAAATTATTATATAATATTATGTATTTCGATAATTATATATTAAATTCAAAATATTTATTAAAACTATTATTATTATAATACCAATAATAATAGTAAATGTGATATCATTTTCAAATGTTATACTATTTTTTGATGATTTTAAGTTTTTAAAATAAAAGTGATTGAAAGTAAAAAAAAAATCACAACAAAATGACTAATAATAATAATAATTTTAGCAAAAAGTATCCAAAAGTTTTATTATTAGTATATATTGGAAATTTTAGTCAACAATTATTAGTATTATTATTGATATCAATATTATCGATAATCAATTGCCAAACAACAACAAAAATTGTATCATATGTGCCCGACCACTATAGACCTGATCCAGGTCCAGGTCCCAGTGCTGAGCCATTGACTGCACACTGGAAATCTATGTCCAGTGGTGGTGGTGCTCATCCATTTTATAATCTAATAGCTAATAATGAGCCCATACTAACAACCCATCATCATAACCCTACACATGATCATCAGCACCCGCACCCACACCATCATCATCAACACCACCCACACTCATACATCCATCATAACCATCATAATACCATTATCCATGATCATCATAGCCCCCCACCACCATATTCCCCATTACATTCAGTGCTAAAACCATCTCATTTAGGCTATACACACGCGGCACCTGTAGCCAAGTCATCGCCACCATCATCATCATCATCGTTGCCATTTGGCGGTATAGCACCCGAACTACTATCGGACATACCCGATGGCGGCCGATTTAAATACCAGCGGGAATTGTCGCCAAAAGTCAATCATATCTATTCCCAGTATCTCAAGGGCGGCGGCGGTGCGGGCGGTAAACATTGTGATGAGTCGGCCACCAGCGGCGGTGACCACTTTTCTAATGATGGTCCCGTTGACGATGATGATGACGACCACCATCATCGACACGGATTTAGCAGCGGTTTCGGTGATTTTGATTCGGCTTTTCGTGTGGCCGACGACCAAATCAAGGACTACGAGCGGGCAAACCAGGAATACCTGGCCCGCGATAGTCGTGGCCTTAATTTCAGTGCCTATATCTATGTGGCCACACTTCACGCTAAATATAATGAATTTCTAACCGATTATATTAGCAAATCGTAAGTATATTCAAAATATTTATTTATTTATTTATTTATTACAATATTTTGTGTTTCCTATTTAATTGATTGATTGATTAATTAATTTATTTTCTATTTATTTTATTTTAATTTATAAATATATAATGAGTTAAATTTTAATTAATTAATTTAGTAATTTATATATATGTATAGTATTATACTGTATATTCAATTTGTGAGAGATTTTTGTTTGTTTGTTAATAATTTATTTCAATATTAATGTAAATTTATTTATTTATTGAAAACTACAAAAAAATCTCACACATTAAGCAGTTAATTGATAATAAATAATAACAATTTTTTTTAAATAAGGGTTTCCTTAAAAAAAACTAAATAACAACAACAATAAAAAATACAACTTTTTTAGTTTAAAATAATAGTAAACTAATAGTTAGTAATTTTTTTTTAACAAAAAGTTATTTTGAGTTATAACTTATAACACAATAACTGTTTATTGCCAATAAAATACAGTAATAATAATAATAGACTTATTTTTTGGGGGTATTAAACATATGCTAATTAGATAAGTAATAATACGGTAATAGTTATAGTTATTATTATATTTTAGTTAAATATATATATATATTTTGTGAAATAGTTAAAACTATTGATGTTGTTATCCATAAATTTATTTTTTTTAGTTTTGAAAATTTTTCCGCTTTATAAGCAATTTTTGTTATTTTTTGCTGTTTTCACTGTTTTTTATGGGAAAATTATTATTAATTTTTTGTTTATCGGAAAATGCATTTTATTTTTTTTTTTTTTTTGACTCAATTAGTTAAGAAAGTATTTACTATTTTACAATAATAATAATAATAATAATAACTTTTAAATTATCTATTTTTACAAAAAATAACAACAAAATAGTATAATTGATTAAAATTCTAAAAAAAATTATTCAAAAATAAATCAAAACTAAAATTGATTTTTTTTGGTTAATATTTTTTTTTGTTGTATATTTTATGTAAAAATAATTTTGTTTTTTTAATCATTTATACAGAAAATGTTACGACAAATACAAGTCAACGGTAGGCATGTCTAAGATGGACATACCATCCAATGGCTGGTCGGACAACAAATACTGCGATATTCAACGATCGGACAGCGATTACGTTGATTGTCATCCAAATGATAAATATCGGCGACTGGACGGCCGCTGCAATAACCCGATGCACGCCAATTGGGGATCAAATTTTCACTGTCATCGGCGATTGTTGCCGCCCGACTACGCCGACGGTATACAAGCACCGCGTCGGGCCATCGACGGCAAAGAGCTACCCAATCCGCGACTGTTGACCAACATATTGATGCCCGACCTGCCGTTGGACGATCCGAAACGTACGTCAATGCATATGATTTGGGGACAGTTTGTCGTACACGACACGTTCAAAACCATACAATCCCTCGGGTTGGCCATCAACTGTTGTAACCCACGTGGCGGCGGCGGCTCACGTCGTCCACATCCCGAATGTTTCCCGATTGATAACATACCTACCGATAAGTTGACCGCCCGTTTCAATCAGCGGTGTATCAATTTTGTCCGATCGGCTTCATGTAATACCTGTCATTTAGGTAACGATTTTTTTTTGAAAATTATTTGTTATTATTGTTATAATTAATTAATTTAGTTTTTTTTTGACTTAATTACTAACTTATCTTAATTTTTATTATTTATTTCAATAATCTATAACCAGAAATATAATTATTACATATTTTTGTTGTTGTTGATATAATCTTAATTTAATTATTTAATTATTTATTTTATTCAGTCAGATAAACTTTTAGATAAATTATTAAAAAATTAAAAAATATAATACATTTTTTTTTGGTTTGAAAAAAATATGATTATAATCTAAATAAGGAATTACATGAAATTTTTTTTAGTAAATTTTTTATGCAAAAATATTTTAATTATTTAAGTTTTTTATTAGAAATAGTTTTTTGGTTTACTAAATTATTTACAAATTAGTTAAAAGTTAAGTTAAAAATAATTTAGTTTATTCAACAACAACAACAACAAAAATTAATTATTTTTAATATATAATTTTTATTAAAACAAAATAATTTTTTTTATAAAATTTATATTTATTATTAATTAATTATTAATATATATATATAGATATTTGTGTACGAAATTATTGCAATATTTTTAGATATTATAAATCAATAATAATAATAATAATTTAATTTTAAATTAATTAATTAATTTTTTTATTATTTATTTTGTTTGATAGGTCCGCGCAATCAGTTAAACGCTGCGACACCGACACTGGACTTATCCCATGTCTACGGCGGCAATCTTATCAACAATTCATTTGTATTGCGCGAATTCAAAGGCGGTAAGTTGTTAGCAATTAGCTACCTGTCCACCCAACCAACCCACCCACCCATACATGACATTATAATTAACTATATATCTCACACACACACACACTTGTAGGTCGACTACGCGGCCAAAGGGATCAAAAAGGCGGTATCATATTGCCAGTAGCTCAGCTGCCCCGCGATCAGGACACTGTCGACCTGACCCAGTGTACACCCCCAGCCGAGCGGCCGTGGCAACAATGTTTTCATAGCGGTGACGGTGTCCGCAGTAACCAGAACCCGCTGGTCAACTCCTTGCATATAGCTATGCATCGGCGACATAATCAACATGCCGGTGCCCTGTCCAAAGTTAATCCACATTGGTCGGATGAGATACTGTTTCAGGAGGCCCGGTATGTTTTTTTTAACTAATATATATCCTAATATAACTATTGAGAAAAAAAATTATTTGTGTGCACCTGTACTACATTTGTTTTTTTATGTTTTTTGTTTGTTTGTTGGTTATAAGTGTTGTTGAGTGACATTTAATTATGTCAATTACATACACACACATAAAATAATGATTTTTTGATTTTATTTATTTTTTTTGTTTTGTTTGGCACTAATAATAAAAAATGTTATTTTATTTTCAAATATAGTTTATATATATGTTTGTGTTGTTTAGTTAACCAAATGAACCGTTTTATTAATGTCATTGTTTTTTATTTGTTTTTTTTGGTTTTGTTATGTATGTGTGTGTGTGTGTGTGTGATATGTTATCAAAAATATTTCTATTAATTATCTGATAATAGATATATTATTATTATATAATTACTTGTTTATTTGGTATTATAATTATTAATAATTATCGATTTTAAATTTTTTTATATTAAACTTTGTGTTATATATATCAATATATATATATATTTGTTACTTTGATAAATAGCTAATTAATTATTTTCACTTAAATATATATATATAGTTAATAATAAAAACAATAATATATTTATAACATTTAATTAATAAAATAATAATAATAATAATGATAAATAGTTAAAAATATCTATGAATCTAATCTTTACACTTGAAAAATATTTAGTTTAGTTATTATACTATTATTTATAGATATTTTTTAATAATTTATTTCTTAAAAATTTTAGTTTAATTTTATGCACATATTTTCGTTGTGTAAAAAATTATTTAAAATTTTTTTATCATTAACAATGATTATTAATTTTTTTTTATTATCTGTCTACATAGTATTGAAATTGTATTTATTATAAATACATATATAATATTAATTATTAGTTTTTATTATATTATAATTATAATTATTACTTTTACTTTGAAAGTAAATTTTATTTTTTTTAACAAATATATTATAAAATCATTGGTTTTACTAATTTACACATTTTTAAAATGTATTTGATATTCAATTAGTTTTTAAAAATTTTTAATATATTTAACTATATATATATATATATGTAGAGCACTATAATTATATGGAAATTAGCATAAATAACATTTTAAAACAAATTTTTATTATTTTGAAAAATTGTTTTAACATTTTTTTTATTGTTGTTGTTATACTTTTGAAATAATTTATTGAAAATTTTTATTTTGTTTATTATTTGATGTATTGGCGCTAATTAATATCAATTATCTAACAAGGTTATTTTATATTGGCTATCGATTGTATTTTTGTTTTAAAAAAAATTACCATATATTAATATATATAATTTATACATATGATACAGTATATATTTTAAAGTAATTTAATATAAGTAAAATTTTAACTTAATTTATATATATTTAATGCCATATACAATACAGCCATATATTATACATTTTAGTATTAAATATAATTATATATATATATATTATAACTAATATAAAATATTTA